ACCAGCTGCAAACAACAAAGATTGGCAAATGACAGTGTGAGAACTAGAAGTAGCTGATCTGGGGATTCCAAAAACTACTGGCTTTTCCCCAAACTAAAATCGCCCTTGAAAAGGAAGAGATTTCAGACCCTCAATGAGATTCAGGAAAATATGACAGGGCTGCTGGTGACAATTCCAACATTTCCAAGATTTTGCAGAGTGTTTTGAACAGTGGAAGAGATGCTGGGAGAGCTGTGCGAAGTCCCAAGATCCTCCTCTGAAGGGAACTGAGGCGTCATTGCCCTGTGTACAATGTTTCTTGTATCTTGTATCTTCTTCAATAAATGTCTCTAGTTTTCATAGTACACGGTTGGATACTTTCTGGACAGGCCTTGCATTTGTTGTTTGTGTCTAGCTTATCTCACTTGACGTAATGTTTTCAAGGTTTATCCATGTTGTAGCATGTGTCAGAATTTCATTCTTCTCTATGTAGTGGCTTAATTTTGTAATTTATTTTTTTACATGACCTAATTGTTTAGAAGCGGAAAATTGAAGTAAAGCAAATAATACTTCATTCTGCCATTGAATTCTGCCTTTCAGCTCCCCTCACCTGGCAATCTATCTCAACTGACTTAGATACCCAAATTCTCAAAATAGCTCACAAAGCAAACTAGTCCACATCCACACATGTCAAGAGCTAAACTAAGTTGCTTTGTTCATCAGCAGTCCTGGAGTTCTCTAGCATGAAGGCCTCTCCTTCCTTGGGGACTTTCCTCCTACCTTCTGATGCAGGCCGCCCTTACTGAAAAGACCTTCCTAGGACCCTACTTTCCTCTCTAGCATTCATCCCAAAAGGTAGCAAAACCTTTTTCCCTTCTACCCATCTTAAACTCTGGGATCCTGTAACTAGACTAACTAAAGACAGATTAACCAGAGAAAAACAAACAACTTTATTAGCATATGCACTACAGATACACATAGGTGTACCTCTAACACATAACTTAAAGGAGTGGTTAGAATTTGGGCTTATAGAGAACAAAAGAACAATAACTTTTTAAAGAAGTGACAAGATCTCGAGTAAAAAGGACTTTGAGTTTCTTGGATGGTAAATTGCGCAAAAGCAAGTGCGTGGGGAAACTAATGGAAAACAAGGGATAGTCAGTAAAGTTTGCGATGCAGGTCCCTCCGGGGCCGTCTCTGGGACAGGAAGGGCCTACAGTTGTTTCCAGGGATTAATTTTTGTCCTTCCTGGTAGAGATTGTAAGGGGGGGCACCTTTACAAGCGTCTGTCCTACTTTCAGGCAAACAGGAGGAAAGCAGAAAGTTTCCCTTCTATCTACTTCTTTTCAATTGCCTTCGCCTGAAGATGATCTTTATGCCAAAGTGGCATATTTTATGGCAGTCTAGTCTGCTAACCTGCCATCCTTTTTCAAACTTTCTCCAAAAAAGCAAACGTTTGCTATGGCCTCCACTTAGTAACTTTGAATCTGCAAGGGTTAACATACTGGCCTTTGAGCAATGCAGAACTGGCCTGAATTTCTGCTCTATCACTTACTAGTCCTATGACCTTGAACCTAAGTTTTCCAATCTGTAATGGAAAGGACTGTCTCAGTTTGGGCTGCTATGACAGATGACAGGAAGTCCTTACCTAATGCCATCAACAGGTTCTGCAACTCTAAGTAAAATGTTGTAATAATGAAACCAATTTTACCACTGGCTACTTGTTACAAACAAAAGTTAAGGACCTGTGGAATCCCATCAATGTTATAATGAAATAACGTTGAATGCAATGATGTTATTCAAGAACCAAAATCATGACTCAGAGATGGGCCAGTGAGGTGACCACGGCTGCCACAGAGTTCCAGTCACCATAGCTAGAAACTGACATGGAGGGCACTGGTTCCATTGCCAGGCTGCCGACCATTGATGTTGTTGCCATAGCCACGAGAATGGATTCTCTCATCCTTGTTTCTCTGCATCACTGGTTCTGAGTAGTCAGGGGAGGGGCCATCTGCTTGGCCGAGCCTTTCATGTGTCTTGTCCCTAGCTACAAGGGACCCTGAAAAAGCATACATCTGATATTTTGGGATGCTATGTGGGAAGATGAGCTTTGTCTCTTCCCAAGGCTCATAAGGCGGAAAGTCCCTAAACTCAGGGTCTGAATGCAGAACAGCCAAAAAGACAAATGTCTGCTACTACAACTCACAGAGAACTTAAAGGGGGAATTGTGGCCCTAGAAATTTATATAAAAACGAGTAAAAGACAGAAAACTGTATTTCAATAATTAAATTTTTTTTAAAAGAAAAAAAATTATATAAAAACCAGACCTAACCCCAGTGCTACCATCTGATCCATACAACACCTTTGACCTTTTAACACTGTCCCCTAACACACTAAAAAGCACTTAAAATATCATAAAAATCATTCTTACCTTGAAGATGTTGACTGGTCTTTACTGAAGAATCAACATGCTAAAGTATCATAGGAAAGACAATGGCAATAAAAGAGTATTTCTCAGAGCAGGGCATGATGGGAACCGCCTTCTATATCCACCTCCAACAACTCTTTGTCTACTTCCCGATCAGGTTCATCGAAAGGAAGACTTGAAGACCCGAAAGTCATGCCCATTCATTTTTCAAAAATGTGAAAGATTAAAATGTTGGCTCTTTTGTACTATAGATATTAGTGTGAAAAATTACACAGTAACACACCTTTGCTCTCTTGTAGCCAAACTTGCTGAATGGGATACAGAAATGATACTGTGCAAGTCAACATAGGGAACAAAATTATTGACATGAAGTGTAAAGTAACATACGCAGGGTAAACAGGCAGTGAGTGTCACCTGTTATTTGACAAGGTGTTACAGGCACATGTAGTATAAAACTATTAAAGAAGTCTTCACAAAGGTGGTTTTAGCCAAGTCTCGTGATATAAGTAGGAGATTTCCAGGTGTGTGTGATTAAAGATGGCCAGAAACTTGTGGTTCAGCCTGCAAAGCAAAAGGTTGATGGTTCGATTCCTGGTCAGGGCACATGCCTGGGTTGTTTGGACCCCATTTGGGGTGTGTTTGAGAACCAGCCAGCCAATAAATGTTTCTCTCTCACATTGAAGTTTCTCTTCCACTTTTTCTCCCACCCTTCCCCTCTCTCTAAAAATTAATAAAATCTTTAAAAAGAGAAAGATGGCCACAAATTCTTTACCAATCCTCCCACAGAGAAACGAATTCCCATTAACTTCTGCTTAAATCTGGGCTGGCCTCAGTGACTTGTTTAACCAATAGCATGTGGCAGAAGTGATGTTCTAGAACCTCTGAGGTTAGGTCATAAGGCTCGCAGCACTTGCCTGGGAACCTTGGAACCATCTCTGGGAGCCCTGAACTTCACTATACCACCCAAGTCCATTACCCTGAGACTGAAGTGCCGGAAAGGGCACATGTAGGCACTCTGGTTGACAATCTCAGCTGAGGCCAGCCTTCCAGTCATTCTTGCCTAAGTATAACATATAAATGACTACGTTTCTGACCTTCTAGACCAGTTGAATATTCCCAAATGGTCTCTGTCAACACCAACAGAAGAGCCATCCTTCCTTGCTTCCTTGAGTTTTGCTTCAATTCTAACCCACAGAATTGTGAGATACAGTATCATAAAGTGGTTGCTGCTTTATGCCCGTAAGTTTTCAGGTAGTTTGCTCCGCATATCTGGATCATCAGGCAAACAACTGGGGAAGGACATTCCCAACAAAGCAAACACGCACGCTTGCGCTCCAGCCACACTGAATGAACTCATTTCCCACGAACACTTTGCCCAGCTCTGACTCACATACCTTCCACGTGCCCTAACCTCCTCCTCCACCGTCCTCAACTTCCAAATCCTATATAACCTTTCTTACTCAAAGTCTTCTTCAGTTTTCACAGCAAAATGGCACTTTCCACCTCTCTAATAACGAAGGTGATACTGTCCCTGTTTTCTGCAGAAGTAAAAATTTATGCTTTTTGGTCCAGTTAATTGTGCCTTGTTTCACTCCCAAAAGTGTCCAATTTTAGTCAACACATCATGTGGTCATCCAGGACTTAACACCGTACTTTCAACTGCAGTTATCTGTGTAGGACTTTAGTTCTTATTCTAGACCGTATGGTTACTGGGAGCAAGTACCAAGTATTTCCTGCAGTAACCACTTATGAACACCTACAATGTGGCAGATGTTGCCCTGTACATTCTGAGCTTGCCCAGCTCCTGATGTAATGGAGTCTGTTGCAGATCACCTCACAGCTGAACCAATTTGAGGACTGGTGGGGAACAGAGTCTGCAACTTGGAAAAGGTTCCTTTCATGTAGATTTATTATACAGGAAGTGCAAAAGATACCTGAGACCAAAACAAAATTACATGGTTAGAGTGGACGTGACTACTGGGCCCTCGCCTTTTCTTTACAGAGCCACCTCAGAAGTTTGGGGCCTGTGTGCTGGGAAAAACCCACCGGGTCTGCGAAGCCCAGAACCTCAGCCCACAATTTTCAGGCTGGTGCATATGAGGGGGGAGTGGTTGTGTCAGCCTGTCCATGACCAGGTTTTTAGACCCTCTTTTCCTGCCGCAATCATCACGTAACCCAGTTACTAATGTGGCAATTTCACTGACATTGGACCTGGGTGAAGTCAGGGCAGCAAACCTGGCCACTGCCGGCTAGAAGGGCACTCAGCAACAGCCTGATGAAAGAAGTCGGTGGCACCGCATCACTAATGAAGGCCACGGGAAAATGAACTTACCTAGCTGGTGAAGGCTACCAGAAATAAAGTGCTGTGATTTCTAGGCTGTTCTTCCAACTCAACCATTAAAGAAACTAAATGATTTTCTTATACCTCTGGTCTCTTCTTTATAAAAGTGCAATCTGTCCCCCATGAGGTTCTCGGTCTTCTGAAGGTGGTGGCTCCGTGTTAACAGCTGATCCTCCAATGGCAAATGCTCTTAGAAAATGAACTGGTGTGATCCATACACTCATAACAACAAATTTTATAAGAAGAAGAAAGTATGTGATAAAAGTATGTGATTTTATTTTCAAGTTTTGAAAAGTGTTTTCAGAAAAAAAGAAGACAAGAACACATACAAAAACTGAAATCTTCCACTGAACTAGAATTAGGAGAGGAAGGGACTTTTGAAATGTAAGGCCTTGTCCTTAAATCACCTCTAAAATGTCCCTCACTCAGGTGACCAGCCTCCTCAAACCTTTCCCAAGTTTGGTGTACTTCATGTCATAAAAGCAACCAATAGTCTTTAATCATTTAAAAGAGAATAAAATAAGGGAGGAAAGGCCTCTGGTGTTGTCTGTGGAGAAGGGCCGCACGCTTGCAGCAGCTTTGGAACACGCAGGGCACAGTACTGGCTTCAAAAACAACGAAAGGTTCTGTGCACTTGCACCGCGGGAACGTGAGCAGCTGCTGCTCACCCTCCTCTATGCACAGTGGCTACATTCCTTCAAGTGCATTCACTTAATTGTAGTTCATGTACTTCTGCCCTTGGGATGGGGCTGAAACAGAAACAAAACAACCAGCTAACACAGAGCTGTTAGCAAAAAAAGTCAAAGTATTAATTATTGTGAGAAGCGATCAACTGACAATCGATCCTGGATAACAACACAAATTTCCAATTACATAAACAAATTCTGTTACTTACTGAAAATTTCCACCATTGGAAGATCCTGATTACAGTAAAGAAATACATTAAATGGAAACGGTTTAAGGAAATGTGATTATTTGGTTCATTTCAGAAGGTCTGCTGGTCCAGCTGCTAGCCGCAGGAGTCCCTGAGTTCTCAGCGAAGTGTGACCAGTTCTTCCGAAGAGGTAGGGTGAATGGCGACCGTGTTGTCGAAGTCGGCCTTTGTGGCTCCCATTTTCACCGCGACGGCAAAGCCCTGCAGCATCTCGTCACACCCGATTCCCTGCATGTGGATCCCAACCACCTGGGAAACAAAGGAGGAGGACACCTACCGTTTAGAAGCCTCTAAAACATGGCAACGCTGAGGACACAGCCCACCAGGCCCTCGCAGTCCTGCCTCCACAGCCCTCCACAGCCCTCCCTCAGGCTCTTGGTCTCGCTAGCTTTCCTCTGGTCCTGAGCACTCACTGTGCTCTCAGCTTTGCACAAACTCTGCCGGGACATCTTTACTTTCCTCTTTTCAGGGAGAAGGCCCATTTGCTCTTCAAAGAGCTACACACTCCTTCCCTAGCAAGTTTGACGATCACGTGGTCTCTCACTACTAGTATTTTTCCACGATGGTTCTATCACAACTGCAATGCTTTACTTATTTATGTGGGGACTGAAGAGTTGCGGTCCACCTTTCCCATCAGACTCGAATCTCAAGAGGAAGGGGACTCTGTCTGCTTTTGCCCCCACTCTATCCCTATGGCCAGGCACACAAAGGCCCGCACCTGCTGGATGAATGCATGAAGGGCTGTGAAGGGCTCTTTGTTTCAACTCTCATTTCCCGGTGGTTTCTCGCTACACTTTAAAGCTATGAGTTATTTTAGGTGTGGTTCTTAATAACTGTCCTTTCACTGTTCATCTTTTTAATCTTCTTTTTCTTAGGCAAGTCCCTTTAACATTTCATATAATAAGGGCTTGGTGATGATGAACTCCTTGAATTTGATCTTATCTGAGAAGCACTTTATCTGCCCTTCCATTCTAAATGAAAGCTTAGGTAGAAAATAGATAGGGGGGAGGGCAAGAATAGTGGGGAAGATATAGAATCTAAAGAACTTGAGACATGTGGTCATAAACTAAAGGGGGGGAACAGTGGGGGAGGGGTGTGCAGGGTGGAGGGGAATGAAGGGGGGGAATAGTACAACTGTAATGGCATAATCAATAAAATATATTAAAAAATAAATAAAGCTATGAGTTAATGTTCACCTTCAGCAAATACTTTTAGGGTAACAAGTCCATTGAAAAACAAAGAGAACATACAATTCAGCCACAAAAATAGTTTGTTTATAAACATGTCAAGAATATACTTAATATCAAGCCCTGACTGGTGTAGCTCAGTGAATTGAGCGCGGGTCTGCGAACCAGACGATCACGGTTCGATTCCCAGTCAGGGCACATTTGTGGGTTGCAGGCCAGTTCCCAGCAGGGGCCAGTTCCCAGCAGGGGATGCACCAAAAGCAACCATACATTGATATTTCTCTTCCTCTCTCCTTCCCTTCCCCTCTAAAGATAAATAAATAAAATCTTAAAAAAAAAAGAATATACTTAATATCAGTGAATGGTACACTTAAAAATGGTGAGGATGGTAAATTTTACATCATGTGCTTTTTACAAGGAAAAAAAGTACCTCTGAATTTAAAGCAAAAAAAAAAAATCCAAATCATATATTATCTATGCATTAAAAATCCACATTTTTAGAAATGTATTATGATCTAAATTGATTTTATAACCCCACAATTTCTGATGATGGCAGGAACTTCATATCATTCCTCTCTATACCCCAGTTCTTAGTCTCTATTAGGTTGTCAGGTAGTGTTTATCAAACAAATAAATGATGAATGGCATGAAGAAATAGCTGATATTTAGAGATAGGAGGGGCCCGGCTGATTCAACAGCTGGAAAGCTGAGGCTACTGAGGAACATTCAGGGTCAGGAAACAGCGACCCGGGCTTCGCTGCCAACCCACCTCCTGTCTTCTCTTTGCTCTGATTCTCTACCCTGCCAGTCCTCAGGGACGTTGACTTCTGTAAGACCAGGGGCTCTGCCTTGTGGATTTTGCAGTACGGGGCCAGTGAATACAGACTATGCTCTTTTTGATAAGAGAAGTTGGAAGAATACATCTGAATCTTCAATTAAGCCACTGTCCCTCATGGAAGCAGGTTCCCAAGGCATACTGCTAAGTGGCATTTCAATATTTAATTCCATCTGTAGAAAAGCCCACTAGACTGACTAATACCCAAATAAAACCTGTACTTCAAAAATTCTGTTTAAGAAGAAACCTGTTCCGCCCTGGCTGGTATAGCTCAGTGGACTGAGCGTGGGCTGCAAACCAAGGAGTTGCCAGTTCCGTTCCCAGTCAGGGCACATGCCTGGGTCAAGGGCCAGGTCCCCAGTAGGGGGCGCATGAGAGGCAACCACACAGTGATGTTTCTCTCCCTCTCTCCTTCCCCTCTCTCTAAAAATAAATAAATAAAATCTTTAAAAAAAAACCCAACCTGTTCCTATTCATACCAAAATCACAGTAAGACACCACTTCACATCCACTAGGATGGCTAGAAGAAAGAAGAGTAACAGGTGCTGTCCAGAGTGTGGAGACACTGGAACCTTCACGCATGGCTGTGGGGGACGAAAAAGGGCAGCCACTTGGGAAGCAGTTTGGTAGTTCCTCAAGAGGTAAACCCAAAATAGATCATTTTCCTGGCTAAACTTCCTCTGCTTTGCTGATTGGTTGTATTCAAGGTATCTGGCATTAAATTCTCACACTTAACACTATTTCTGAGTTTCCTATCTACTCTGGCCTACTGGTTGATGACAGAGAACTGTTTGTGGCTTTCGACCTTTCCCCTAGTGTTTGCAGTAGAACCTTCCCTACTGATGAAATATTATGAGGAACCTTAATGTGCAGACAGACAAGTGGAAGTGGGTCGGCCCCAGCAGAATCAGAGAAGCCTCACCTACGCGGTCTCCTCCCTCCCAGTCCCACCAAAACGCCCCTTTCCTGCCACCCTTGCGGTCACTCTTTGGCCCACTGGGTTTTCCCCATACCTTTTCCTCTTTGTTAGCGCAAACCATTTTCATCACACAGTTTGTTTTCCTTGTGGTAACTGCATGATACATTGGGGTAAAGGTGGTGGAATAGATCTTCACGTTTTCTTTTCCATATTTATGCATGGCCTCATCTACAATGTACAGGGAAAAAGAGCATCTGTGAAAAAACAGAACAATTCCACTGACCTATCAGAGAGCAAGAAATATAACAGATGACCTAGTCAAATTATGAATACCTAACAAAGCCACAGTGAGCGACAGCCTACGAAATAAATGCTGATGTCATGAAAGATAAGAGACTGAGGAACTTTGTCTCTAACAGAGACCAAAGAGTTATAAAAACTAAATGCAGTGCGTCATCCTGGACTGAGTGCTGTACTTGGGAGGAAAAAATGTTAAAAATGTCCTGATTTGAGATAACTGGCAACATGTGAATAGAGTCTGAAGTTTAGATAATATTGTTTCCATTTAAATGGTCTCGTTGGAAAACCGCACTGTGCTTCCGTGAGGGATGGCCTCATTCTTGGGAACAGTTACTGAGGTGTGTGTGAGTGTGAGTACACGCGTGCAGAAGGAAAATGGTCACATGAAAATGTTCAGGGTATACAGGAGGCCTCCGCACTATTTTTTGTAACATTTCTTTAAATTTGAAATCAGTGCAAATAAGCCCAAAAAAGTCAAAGAGACAGACAGGGTGGTGTGGGGGAAAGGAACTAGACTCTCAAAGGGGTAGTGGTCGGCGAAGAAACTAGAATAGCAGCAAGAGGCTAACCAAAAAGGGGTGTAACTGGGGGGCCGAGATAGATTTAAGCAGCCGACAGACACCCAGTTTTAAGCTGGGGATGGGAGGAAGGAAACCATAATTGATTTCCGTTTTTAAATACCTACCTTCTGTGAGTCCCACTGTGCCAATAGGGGGGTGGCTGAAGACCACCGTGGGGATATTGTCATAGTCTAATTTGGAATCTTCTTTGCATTCAAAAAGTCTATGGGCAAGTTTTCGGCCAGCAGCTATGGCAACTGCAAAGATATTTTTAAATATCAGTGGTTAGCTTATTGTGCATTTTAACACAGCAGAATTGTAACCATTTAGCAATTTGGCTTAACATGCTAGTTCTGACAAAGTTTTATACCAATTTTCATTATACTACCTAGTTCAATATAATGAAGACATATTAATGCCTTAGTTAATGCCTTTTAACAACTCAAAACTAGCAGCTTATTCTATTACATCACACACACACAAAAAAGAAAGAAAGAAAGAGTGAGCTCTGGCTTGTATGGCTCAGTGGACTGAGCGCCAGCCTGGGAACTGTAAGATTGCAGGTTCAATTCCCAGTCAGGGCACATGCCTGGGTTGCAGGCCGGTTCCCTGCAGGCCAGTTCCCAGCAGGGGGTGCACAAAAGGCAACCATACATTGATGTTTCTCTCCTTCTCTCCTTCCCTTCCCTTCTAAAGATAAATAAATAAAATCTTAAAAAAGAAAGAAAGAAGAAATTTACACATTTACAAGTTCCCAGCCAATCTGGCAGTTACCTACTTAATGAGGATATTAGCTTTTTGATTCAATATTTATGGAGCAAAACTATATTAGTTTCAAGCATCTTCAGTCCTACTCTATAACCATGCTTAGTTCACACAAATATTTTTTTAAAGATTTTATTTATTTATCTTTAGAGGGGAAAGGAAGGAGGGAGTGAGAGAAACATCAATGTATGTTTTTGTGCGCCCCCTGCTGGGAACTCGCCTGCAGGGAACCGGCCTGCAACCCAGGCATGTGCCCTGACTGGGAACTGAACCTCGATCCTCTAGTTCACAGGCCTGTGCTCAATCCACTGAGCTACACCAGCTAGGACCTCACACAAATATTTTAATGTTTAAATTATTTTATTTCTTATATTTTTTCAAAGTTTATTCTCCATGGCCTGTTTTTATTCCTGATAGTCTTTTAGAATAAATGCCTAAGTTCAGTAAAAGCATCAGTTATTAATTGTATTGATTTAAATTGACAGGTTTTTCTCCCCTCTCCAAATAAGATATCAGTAGGATATGTAAATTTCTTCACTTCAACATACTTTTCAACTGTTATAGATTGTTTTCATTTTATATTTTATATACTCACCCGAGGATGTGCTTATTGATTTTAGAGATAGGGGAAGGGAGGAAGAGAAACATCGATGTTTGAGAGAAACATAAACTGGTTGCCTCTCGCATGCACCCTTACCAGGGACCGAACCCGCAACCTAGGCACGTGCCCTCAACAGGAATTGAACCCATCACCTTTTGGTTTATAGGCTAATGCTCCAACCAACTGAGCCACATTGGCCAGGGCTGTTAACATTATGTTTTAAAGTTTTTTAAGCTTTACCTGTTATTTTGCTTTTTGCTAAGACAACTTCCTAAACATGCTAAAAGGCTTTGGGGGTGTAACTGGGGACGTTTCCATTCTGAGGTAAGACCCAGGGCCGTTCCGGGGTGGCTGGTGAGGTCCCGGAGGGGTGTGGAGCGAAAGCATGTGGAGTGGTGTTCACAGTGGAGAGAAGTGGGACAAAGAGCTTGGGAAGGTGCCGGTAACTGAGGAAGCTGAAGTATGGGATTCAGAGGACAGGGCCAGTCTTGGTTGTATCAAGACTAAACATTGCATTCCTCCCCCCTTTTGGTTTTTTCCCTTTTTATTTCCTTTTTTTTTTCGCACCCCATTTCTTAATACCCAGAGCCTTCAAGAAACGTTACCTGGAGTGAGAAGAGCTTTTCCACATACATCCCCAACTGCGTAGATGCCTTTTACGTTAGTATTCTGGAATTCGTCTACAATGATGTGACCTTGGCCATCAGTCTGAATCCCCTAAAATTGTGAAGGGACACCATGTAAATATTTGGCCTATTACAAAAATGGAAGATCAAATCTCTGGGTCTACCTCATTTTAGGCACCTCTTTGGGCTGAATCTCCAAGAACCACATTACTCAATCACAAGATGAAAAAAACATCTTAGCAAATTGGCAACATTCATAGCTTTTGCTTAATTTAAAAGGGAAATATTTTATCCAATTTTGAGGTTTTTCAACAGGGTTTGACTTTGCAGTGTTCAACTCAACTGGCCAGGCAAGATGAGAAGGAATCACTCAACTCCCAGACGTCGTGTTTGCTATCCCCACGTAGTCCATCTAGGACATGTTTTTGCCCTTTTCCACCAAAGCACTCAGTCCTCCCGAAGTAGACTCAGTCACACGTAGAGGGCTACAGCCCGAAACAGTCATCAAAACCAGATGTGTGTGAACCTTACCATTTGAGCCTTAAAATCCAAGCAAATTGTGCACTGTGCTCTAAAACATGCTGCTGTTTCCTTGAAACAAAACCTTTTCCCTATATATCGATCTGAATTTTTGCTCTAAGATGTGTCGTGTTTATCTTGTTGTGCCTTTCTAGATCCCGCCTGTATGTGCTCCCATGTGGGAAGTAGACAGACAACAGAGGTGGAAAGTAGGAAGCTTAGCGGGTAAGGGCGTATTACCTTGGAAGCCAGACAGAGCTGGGGTTCAAGTCCCAGCTCTGACAATTACTAGCTATGAGACCTTGCATAACCACCTACGTATCTATGAACATTTGAACTTCTAGCACAAATGAGGCATGAACCTTGTCAGTGTGAATACAGGGGCAAGTGTAATACAGACAGCCTCCCGGCTCCACAGAGTTTCCAGCATGAGTTATTTACTCGCTCTGTGCTCCTAGTTTCCTCATCCTCACACCTCAGAGTTGCTGGAAGATTCAATTAGGTTAGTAACACGCTGACAAAACCTACAGGTAGGGATCATTCAATCTGCATTACAAAATATACCTTAACACTGAGTGAGATTAAAAACTTGGCCTCTTTTTTTAAAAAAAAATCAGCAAATATAGGTGGAAATTGGACCTGCTAGTGCTTATATTTATACAAAGGCAAAATATCCCCTGAAGGATAAAAAGCTGACTGATTGGCTTTGTTACTATGGAAATGGTTTTACTACATTTCAATGAATAATAAGCTTCAAAACAAGTAAACCATCTCCCTGAATATTTTATTTGTTAATGCTAAAAAATATATAAATGAAAAAGGACTGTACGTTATAACAGATCATAATATTAGAACATAAATCAAAATATTAGCTACTTCTCCAGAGGCTCCATGAAACGTATAATCCTCAAGCATATAAAATAGCTATCATTACTAGCAGAGTAGTATAGCATTTCAAAAAAGTCACCATCATCACAACCATCAACAGCAGCTGGTGAACATTTACTGAGTTCATACTATAAGCCAGGACCTTAGTGAATCATTTTGCACGACCTTTCTCATTTACTCTTCTCTACAACCCAATGAGGCAAGTAGTATTATTATTCCCATATTTACATGAAGCAGTTCAACTTGAGTAATTATACTGCTTGCCTAATAAGGTCATGCAACTGGTAAATAATAGAACTAAGGTTCAAAATTGGGTCAAACTCTGGACCCACACCCCAAGCTGCTCTATGCTAGACTTTCCTTCAAAATGTAAAAGCACAAATAAAAATGCTAATTATAACACTGGTAGATCAGCTTCACATCTATTCCCATCCCCACGTGCCACAATGTCCAGATGATTTACACACCCAGCTATCGGGGTCAGCGCTGCAGACAGCAAGGAATATGACAGGGCTTTAAAGAGACACGTATAGTAAAACGGAAATCTCTGTGCAAGAGGCTGGTCAGGAAGCTGCTAGACAATCCAGATTAGAGGTGTCAGGGACCTGATCTAGGGTGAAGACTCAAAAAAGAAAATCTTTTAAGTTCAGAGGAGCAGCAATGGGGTTTGATTACAAACTGAATGCAAGGAATAATGAGGATAAAAAATCCAATACAGCCCACCAAAGTGTGGGGAATCTGGATGAGCTGGGGGGGGGGGGGCGGCACAGGGCAACTAAGAGGTTTCAGAAGGTTTGGGGCAGACTAAATCAGCTTACCACTTTGTTTAAATTCAGGCCCCCAGAATTCGGGTCCCGCCCAATGGCCCAGAGCAGGCAGTCAACATCTTGAATGGTGGTGAAGGTGGGTTTCCTACCAGGAACTGAGGTAACCACGCAGACCTCCAAGCCTGAGGAAGTCTTTTTAACTTCCTTGACCTATTGGCAAATAAATATGTTAATTGCAGGGGGAAGGGGGAAGGAGGAAGAAAGGAAAGCAAAGAGGAAACTACAATTGTAAACATCTAAAAAAATCCCCACTGAACCCGACATGTGAATCTTACAAGCTGACGCATTTCCTTCTGCCCCAAAGCCACCAACATGAGACGCCTGGGAGCCAAGACTGTTTTCTCAGCTTCCCCGAATCATCTAGACGATGGCCAGAAACAGTAGCTCACTGTCACCCTCCTAATACTTCAGCTTAAAACAAAGTATCCTAAACTGTGCCTTTAAAAACTGGTAAGATTTTTAACTCACAAATCTAAGCAGAGCGCAGCAGGAGTGTGAGGAAGACGAAAAGTATCACTAAGAAACTTTTCATGCCGTACACTCACTGCATCTCCCTGGACATTTTCGACCAGAATCGGGAGGGGCGAGGTGAGAACTAGGTCAGGAGAGTGGAGCCACACAGTTCAAGTTTAGTGAAGGTCCCAAATGATTCTGATGTTGACCCCAACACCAATCTAGTGCTTTCACATTCACAAGGCTCGTTCACATTTTTTACTGCACCGGGCATGGCCTATGGTGAAAGGGCCAATCTATGGGGGGAAAGGGTGACTTTTACAAGGCTAATGCTCCAGGAAAATGCTGAAATTTAGGTGATTCTCTGAGAAGTAAAGCACTCTGTAATTCTGCAAATCCCAAACGGGTATGCTTTGAAAATAGATTCCATCACATCTCCTGAAAAAATAAGTACAAACCTGCAAAATAAGGATGCTCACATAGATGTGAGCATCTATGCACGACAATTAAAGTTTTAGTTCTAACTAAAGTCAACTCCTAGATTATTCTAATCTTTTATGCCCTGACTTCATTAATACATTAATGAGAAATATAGCAGCTTAAAATGAAGACAAGAATTGGTAGTACTCTAGAAAGGAATACATTGACAGGGGTAGACAGAGTCTGCGTTTATAAAGCTCAGAGGGTGAAGCCGAGAGCACAAAGTGTGAGTCATGGCAGAGAGACAGGCCGTTCGCACGCCCTGGGCCAGCCATACCTGAGAGTGCTTCAGCACCTCAACGCCAGCATTGTTCAGCTCTTCAGTGCAGTTGGAACTGATCATCGAATCAAAAGTTCTAAGCACCTGCATACAAACAGAGGCAGCAGAAGGATGGTGGTGGGAAAGGAAAAGCCTTGACCGAAGCTACGCTACAAACCTGGCAGGGAAATTTCAGTGCCATCCTCCCTCTTATTTCCCTCTTCATTCATGGCCATCCTGGGAGCGCAGCTTTCATAAATCTATTTTCCCACGTCCCCACCAGTGTCTGCCTTACATCTGACTTCGCCCACTCCTGCTTTAGACTCAAAGAGATAGGCAACCTTCAGGCCTTCACTACCTTCACCATGTCCTCTCCGCCCAAGCTTGTTTCTCTCTTCTGTAAGTCTAGGGACCAGAAATTCTTTCTCTTTTTAGTATTCCAAGGCCAGCTTTCCCTCTGATATGATGTAAAATCTCCTTATCGAGGAAGAAAACTCAATACAATCATTTTGAAGATTTTTTTTAACCCTAGTCTTACTATTTAAGATCTCCAACTATTTTAGTGATTTAAATTTGGTAAATATGAATTCCATTCCTATTAAAAATTCCTGACAAAGTTAAAATATTGGCTTTTCCCCCCATGATACAATAGGTGTTGTTCTAGAGAACATCTGTCTCTGTATCCATCTATCTACCCATCCTCAAATCCTTCTAATGAGGGTATGGGGTAGGTGATGCTATCCTCATTTATTTTTTCAGATGAGAAAGCTGAGACTCCAAGAAATGGAGTGACTCTTAGAAAGTATTACAGCCAGGACTGAAAATGAGCTCAATTCGATCCTTCAGATCAAGTTCTCTCCACGACATTATGCACTTGCTTCTTTGGTTACATAATCTTGAAGGTCATGTAAAGACCCTGGGACTACTAAGAACTGACCACTGGGCGCCCGTCAGGACAGACGGCTCTGCGCCATCACCCACTGCAGGGCTATACATCCTGGGAAGGCGGAGAGGACATGGGAGAACAAAGGCATAGGAACCACTCTCTTGCCACATCTGTCAGATCTGTGTATGGTGTCACTAGCTGGGGAGTAAAGACATGGGGCTTCTTCACGTTCCTAGAACCAAGGCTCATTAATCTCCTCTCCATATTTGCGGACTTCATTTCTTCTGAATTGAGTTCAGACTGGCAAGTCCAGGGCATTGGTGAGTTACATCTCCCAGGGCATTGCCATGGTCTCTAGCACAGCCGTTACGACACCACCCTCCCACCGCGCCTCTCACAGCCACCGTGTACTCAGTCTTCACTGGAATGCTGTCATGAAAGGGAGCGGACGTGCAGTGACTGCCTATTAGGTGGGCTGTACTCACGTAGGGAAACCTCTGTGCCTTTTCCAGTGGAGGGGAGAGGCATGCAGCTCTTGCGAGCTAAGCTGAGGTCAACACTGTAATTGCTGACCATTCATTCCATTAATGAATAGTTATTAAGCTCTACTATGTGGAAGACATAAAACAACAGAATGAAGGACACACTAATAATTAACTTAAAAGATGTACAGATATGGTGGTCTAGAAGGGACAGAAATTATACAGAAGAGAACAGGAAAATTTTCATGGGGAATGTGTTATTTGCACTGGATCTTGATTTGGAAAGAGAAAGTACCTTAAGTAGAAAAGTCTGTACAAATATAAGAGATGGGAACAGCTTACAGGCGGGGAATAGGCTAGAGATGGTTCAACTCCTTCTGGGAAACGGGGCATGTCTGACGAGATTACTTTTATGAGGGCTGAGTATGTGCTTAGAGGGATGCTCAGGCCTGCAAATCACAGCAGTAGATCAACATGCCACGGAATACAGTGATGGAGGACTTGGTGGGGATGGTAATGACACAGGTGATGATGACGCTGGTGATATGATGACAGGGGTGTTGGGAGATGATACTCAGTGGGGAAGGCAGGTTTTTGGAAAGAAAATGGAAAAACCCACATTTTTCCTACACATTATTGGGTGAAAGTCTACCCTAATTATCTTAAGGTGTGCCGCCTCAAGATGCTAATAGTCACTGGGGAAATCAAGGAATTGGTACTGCACCAGATTTAATAGCCAGCTAAGCTAATTAAAGAAGGCAATGGATCTCACGAGATGTGATCAGGCCTCTTGAAAACAAAAGAAGACACAATTTAAAGACAAGCAAAACTGGTAATAAGGAAACAACCTAAGGTATATAATTAACCCATAGAATCCAGTGACATGGGATACATTAACGGACAGTGAATTTAAGTAGAACTGTGAGATTTATAAAGCACTTGGCACTTACATGAATAGGTAATGTTTTAGTATCTAATATCCCCAAAGATAAGTATCATTATCATTTGTGAATTTTCACTTAAGATGCTGAAATAGCTGTTCTTTGCTTGCCCTTAGCAAGTTCCCTGAATATGAACGTCACAGAACCTTGAGGTCATTGGGAGCCACATGAATGCTAGAGTATAAATAACATCACTGAAATAAGAAAGAGAATTGACATAATAATCAATCTAAGTTTTCGCTGCCAGGATTTTTGTTCTTTTTTCAAGATTCCCAATGTTATTTCCAGTTGGATTTCAATGTTCATAATGATGGCTTCTATCACTGCCTTCAGGAGACTAGTCTTTAAAATAACAGTTGTTACTGTCTAGTAACTTTTCTTTTCTCATAGACATCCTCTCTCTTTCTCTAGAGATTTCTTTGTGATACCACACATACAACCCACCCCAGGCAGGGTGAAGGTGGGGTCATGAGTTATTCGCAGGCTAGTTCTAGGACAGAGCACACTGGGACAGGGGACAGAGGGAGAAGGAGCTGGGTGCAGGCAGGGGGAGGAGCAGGAAGCCCAAGCAGATGTGGCTTTTGGCAAACAAGCCACTTGTCCAAATGCAGGAGATTCACCACTCTACCGATAAACTGCTGTATTTTCTTTGCTTATTTATATATTAAATTCAGACTAGCTACCCCTCTGCTTTCCTTCTTCCTTTCAATTTTCTGGATATATTCCAGCAATACAAAATAACATTTACCTATAAAAAACATTATTCAGGACCTAATTCTTCTGAGGGTTAACTGTATGACGAGTCTCAAAGCCAAAAAAGAAAGCCCTGTAGACTCTAAGGCTTAGAGTACATGCTGACCAGGATTATTGGTTTTCCTCCTCTCTCTCCATTTGCTCAAATAATAAAGAATGTGAATCATAGCATTTCCGTGGTCAGGGATCTGATAAATCCTGCTCCAAAGACATTCAATGACTTGCCCAAGCGATTACTGCTCCACACCGTGTCTCTGAAAGGTCCGATACTGCTCCACAACCCAATGGTGCTAGCCCACAATTAATCAAAAAACGCATACAAAACAACACTTCTTCATTATTGGCAAACATGGAGGCAGTATTTTCACAGATAAAAATACTAGCTTGGGCTTCTCAGACCTTAGCTGACTCTCAGTTCTGACACTAATTAGCAGTCTCAAAACCTCTCTTGGCCTTAACATGAGGTTCAAACAGATGGCTTATGAATCTTATGGCTCTATTTTTGTGTGTGTGGTAAAAAATGCTTAACATTAATTCACCAACTTAACCATTTCCAAGCGTACAGTTCTAGAGTGGTAAGTATATTCCTGTCGTCGTGCTGACCTCCAGAAGCTGCCCCTCCTGAAAAACTGAAACTCTGCACCCCATTACACAACACCTCCCCATTCCTGCCTCCCCCGAGCCCCTGGCAGCCACCACTCTACTTTCTGTTTCTATGAGTCTGACACTCTAGATACCTCACAGAAGTGGGATAATATAATATTTGTCTTTGTGTGAATGGTTTATTTCATTTAGCATGTCCTCAAGGTTCATCTGCACTGTAACATGGCAGAATGCCATTCCTTTTTAAGGCTGAATAATATTCCATGGTATGTATATGCCAATTATGTTTATCCATTCATCCACCAATGGACACTGGAGTTGCTTCCACCTATTGGCTACTGTGAATAATACAGCTATGAACATCGGTATGTAAATATTGTGGATATGTTTCCTGTTAATGCAAAGAACTTTGCTGAATGAGTGTCAATAATCCAATACTACCTGATCATATGATATTGATTTCCAGAATAATAACTTAAAATAATAATCTATTCAATTTAGCTAATATTCCTATATAAGCCTGCATTCCTCCTAATTAAGGCCTATGAAACTACCTAGAACTTCTTGAAGAAAACACCAGCCAGTTCTATGAAATCAAAAGCATTGTTAGCTGGGGAGGACTTGAAGCTTCACTCAAACAACCTCTGTGCAGCCCCACGTGGGACAAAGCAGCTGATCCCCACATGCTTTGCACCCTAGTATTTAATGACAGTGTGAGAGGAAATTCTCACTGTAGATTTTTTTTTTTAAATTAACATCAAGGAAAGAGGAGGCCGGCGGGCAGAGCCTACCTTGTCATGCCGTATCATGAGGGACGTCCTAGAGCCCAGGGCAGAGAGGATCCCGGCGATCTCCACGGCGATGTACCCCGCGCCGACGATGACACTGCGGCTACGGGAGAGCAGAGGGCTGCTGTTCTTAAATAAACTTATTTCGGGATGATTTTAGCTGTACAGAAATGTTGAAAAGCTGGCACAGAGATGGCCTGTACACCCCCGCCCAGCTCTTCTGAAAGTTAACATCTTGCATAACGTAGTACAAGTGTCACAACTAAGAAACTGACACTGGTAGGATTTGACCGAATTCATTTCACTGCATTTATTGCTAGCAATGCAAGTTTAACAAATGATTTCAAAATGCGTAAAGGACAGCCCTGGCTGGTACAGCTCAGTGGGCTGAGCGCAGGCTGCGAACCAAAGGGTCGCTGGTTTGATTCCCAGTCAGGGCACATGCCTGGGTTGCGGGCAGGTCCCCAGTGGGGGCCTGTGAGAGGCAACCACACAGTGATGTTTCTCTCCCTCTCTCCTTCCCTTCCCCCCTCTCTAAAAGTATATTTTTAAAAAATAAATAAATAAAGCCTCTGTGAGGGTAAATTTGGATTGACTTATATCATCTAAAGAAGATAAGTAATGAATGCATGTGTCCTATCATTCGACTCAAAAATCAAACAGTACAGGGTGGATCACAGAGAAGAAAGGCTGTTCTCTAGCATGTTTAATGCTCTGCAGGCAGAAAACCTAAAAAAACTGCCTTCCTTCCAGTCAAAAGCCTGCCTTGTCTGCACATCTTAACAGGACATCTTCACGGCAGCTGTGGAAGCACACAGAAGCCCTCTTGTCTCGTATTAATTCTGGCTCCGGGTGAATTCAAGTAAACGTGTGGGCGAGAATTTTATTTTTTGAGAGCACATTTACTAAAACTGGGGGCGGTGAAACCAGGAAGGGCTTAGGGCAGAAGGAACGACAGGAAGGAGCCTTGGCAGGGCTGCCCTGACTCGGTGAGAAGTCAGAGGAAAGAGGCCTTGGACACAGGTCCGGGGCCGAGCCTGGGAGGGCCTGCCGCTGCCCGTTGCTCCCCTAGTTGCAAGTCTCATGGGGTCCCTTAGCGTGGAGGAGAGGAAAGGGAAGATGCTCGCCCAAGAGGGAACACAAGAGAGAGCGCGCCACCAGGAATTTTCAGTAATCCCCCAAGAAGGCCTTTATGAAAGCACAGGATGAAGGCCTCAGACGTACTGGCAGCACTCGCCAAGGGAGGAGCAGAGTTGAGCAACACTGACTCCAGAGTGAGTGTTACTCAGGAGGAGAAAAGGTCCCTGGGCCAGAAGGGTCCCTGCTCCGGTTCCCGGGTTGCACCCCTTCGTGAGTGAAGGGAGGACCCCTCTAACCGGGAAAGCCTTCGATGGGCAGCTTCTTCAAATCAGAGAAACAAACTTCCTCATTATCTTTTTTCTCTCTGTGTTATGACAGAGAGAAAACCCATCGCAGAAGTTCGCTAAGGTTATTTGGACAAATACGTATAAGGAACAATTTCAGAAAATTTATTTCTGTGAGATTGACAGAGCTTTTATTTATGGAGATCCCTCTGCACTAGCTGTTTTGAAAACCAGGTCCCAGCCCTGGCTGGGTAGCCCAGTTGGTTAAAACATCATCCCAATGTACCAAGGTTGCGGTTCAATCCCTGGTCGGGGCACATGCAAGAATCAACCAATGAATGCATAAATAACACCAAATCGATGTTTCTCTCTCTTTCTCTCAAATCAATAAATTAAAAAATAAAAACAGAATCAGTTATTTGAAACACATTATCAATTGATGTTGTATCAAATTGAAGACAGAAGATAGTTTTAGGGCTGTACTATTTATTCTTCAGAACCACCTGGGTTTGGTTCTGGTTCTAAAAATTCTGCAACAGCCTCTGACCAAAGGTATGAAAGATCTGAGTCCCTGCATGAGGGGTATGAGTGAATGAGATGCCCACCGTCATAAAAAGAGAAGAGGCAGGAGGACAGAATTCAGGAAATGCCTACATTTAATGGGGGGCGGCGGGGGGGCGGCGGTGGTGAGAAGTGTCGGCAGGAAAGACTGAGGGAGGATGAACAGTGAGTTCAGCAGGGACGCCGGCTTACCGAGGCAATTCTTCCAGCTGAAAAAATCCATCACTGGTTATTCCCAGGCTGGCGCCTGTGTAGGAGAACACACTATCAATCGCACAGACTGGGCTTTGTCTTGGAAAATAATCCCGAGAATTTATGCAAGCCCCAACACCTCTCCAGACATCACACTCTCTGTTCTGACAAGTTCTTCACAGTCCTCACTCAGGAAGCTTCCAACCCTGCCCTCCCTGGGTCAATATTTGTATTTTCTTTCCAGCAATAAGAGCAGTGATGACTAAATAACTATCAAATTCCTCTGCGGAACTGAAATTTTCCCAGCTCTCAGAGTGGACTCTTTGCCAGCTCTTCTTCACTCTCCCACACTCTAATAAAGTCCCGTTGGTCACGAACCAGCGTTTGCCTTTGGAAGACTCACCTGGGATCTCGCTCTCCTGCGGCTGCGAGGGTGAGCCACCTGTTGCGATCAGGATGTGAGGAGCCGTGTATTTTTTCCCAGTGACCTCCACAGTGGGCTTGGGGTCGCCTGTGAAGGCTGCATAGCCAGGGATGATTTCTATATTGACCTGGAGAAGGAACCACGCATGACGTGAGCCTGCGCTTCATTATTAACATGAAAACACCTCCTGCAACTTCTCAGCATTTTCCATTTCTCTACTGAAGATTTTGATTTGGGGTTTGCTCAGGCCAGGACTTTTCTCAATGTTCAAGCTTCTATAGAACTTTTGTTAATTGATAGTTAGGTAAGAGGGTTAAAGTAAGAAGAAATAAAGGTGCTATTGTGGACCAAAACCCAGAGTCCAAAAGAATATATCCAAGTCACCCCAGAAAGAAAAATATTACATCTTTATCCCCAAGAGTTGAATGAGAAAGCCCTCCTCACAAGAAAAACACACTAAAGAATGACCATGTCTGCAGGAGGAACAGAGGGCTGAGAAAGACAAAGGATGGATAAAGGGCAGGTATGAGAGGCAAAGAGAAATACTACAGGTGAGGCGGGAAGACACAGTGTTTCTGCCTCCTTAAACAAAATGGGAAGAATACCACAAAATTACATGACATTGAAGTTCTGTGTCAGAAACGTCGAGACCTCAGACCCCCACTTGCCCTTATTGTGCCTCGATTTGGGGACCTTCGATTTGGCGACTGGAGATTGCCAGCAAGCTCCTGCCAGCTATGCTACATACCGGCACGCACTGTGGCATGGATACAAGGATGATGGAGTCACACAAGCAGGCTCGCCGAATAGAATGTCTTAACATGTTAGAACGTGCTCGGTTCTGCATTGAGTTATTGCCTCTTTTCTAATCACCCCTCCAGGCCTTCTCTGCCTGTGCTCTGCTTAATCAGGTTGAACCAAGATCAATGCCAAACAACACAAACCTCCAGAAAAACCTTCCTTCAGGATGTAACAATTTCCTATGGGCGATAGACAAAAAGGGATATGCAGCAACTGGCAATAATATAGATGATAGCTTGGGGGAAGAACCGATGCAATCTTTATTTTCACTTCTTAGGATATTTGATAGAAAACTTCCTTTCCTATTCAGATTCCTTCCCCATAAAGTCACAGTGAGTTTTACAGCACACCAAGATTTGTGGGTATTTAAAAATGCTGTTTCTTGAGTGATTTTCCTATCTCTTCTGCATTTTCACCTGGCTCCACTTTTTAATAAAATTTGATGTGGGTGTTATAGTATAGCAAGTGTTATCTCTATACTCATGTCTAATAGATTTAAAGTATCTTGTCATCAGTGCCTACGGGACCAAAGGCCCCCAGATATTTTCCCCTTGAGTTGGCAATTAAGATCAGAAAATATCACCATCCAAAGAGAAAGCCAATGAGGGATAAGAATCAATATAAAAACATGTGAGGTTAGCCCTGGCTGGTGCAGCTCACCGACTGAGTGTCAGCCTGTGAGCCAAAGGGTCACTAGTTCAATTCCCAGTCAAGGCCCATGCCTGGGTTGCAGGCCAGGTCCCCAGTACAGGGCACGAGAGAGGCAACAAACACATTGATATTTCTCTCCTTCTCTTCCCCTCTCTCTCAAAATGAAAAAATAAAATCTTTAAAAATATATGAAATCAGCCATCTGTAGGAGTAACTTACACTAAAAACTGGCTTATAAACAATCTGCTAATGAGATCACAGAGGCCTGGATATCATTGAGAATCTACTGATCTAAATATAACCTAAGCTACCTTCGAATCTTAGAAACTGCAAAGTGAGACCATAAAGGCCTTTGCTGGATGCAGGATGCTGAGGTACACACTGTCAGGAAAAAGAGAGTCGATGGTGCGTCAGTATCTCCGGCACAGTCCCAGCTGGGAGAGGAATGACGTCTAAGTGCAAAGACGGAAAGAACCCCGGGAGAGCCAAGGATAGTGCGTACTGGCTAAAGGCAAACCCGCCTTAGCCCAGCTTTCTTTTTATATGAGTTCATTCACACACAGGCACAAAAACATCTTCTGAACCACAATCTGCCCTCCTGAGTAGATTTAGCCACCGAGGATGTTATTTGCTCTAAGCGAATAAATAATTGCAGGTTTCCAGCCAGAAAATGCTCCTGATTTTAATTAATAAATGGGTATAATCAGTCTCTTATGTGATGATTTCTGCATCTAAGTGGAAGGCCAAACCTACTGAGGGTACAGCACTCAGGCGAGACCTGGTCTCCCAACTTCGGCACACACTGCCCAGCCTCTGTGGAAATGAGAGCGGCCCACAAAGTGGGAGGCTGCTCTCTGCACAGGTCAACCTCAGAATCTTCCATCATAAAAGTAACAGACACAGTAAGAGAGACAGGCAATGGCTACGCTGCAGTTTGGCCACCCTTGTTAGCACACTCCAGCAGAAAACAGCGACTTCTCAAAATTCAGAGCCCAGCACACTCACCTTGGTTAGGTTCTTTTCATAAATGGAGTTCAGGCGGCTCACATAGGCGTCCCGCTTCTCCTTTATGACCCTGCAATGAAACCTGAATCAGCACTGGGACAAAGGATTCTTGTCTTCCAGCCGGTAACTAGGGCATCTCCCTGGAACACAGAGTCACAGACTGCCAGCACGAACCCCGGGGGTCACAGTCTCTAAAGACAGTCATTCGCCCTTCCTGCGTCCGCCTGCCTTCCCGTGTGTGGAGAACCCCTATTTTACCCTGTAGAGGATGTTCAGGTGGCATCCATGGTAGGTGAATAAAACTTTTCTTTGCACAGAAGATGAGGAAGGCTGCTTTGGTATTGTGCTTAGCATGGCAGCATTAAGAGCTGCTTGAAACTAAATGGTCAGTTGCATCTAAAGGAATAAATAATTTGCAAATCACACTTGCCACTCAATACTTGTTGAATAAATGAATTTGTTAAAAATTTGATGGCTCCAAAAAGTTCATGGGCCCTGGCTGGTGTGACTCAGTGGATTGAGCACTAACTAGCCTGGGAACTGAAAGGTTACCAGTTTGACTCCCGGTCAGGGCACATGCCTGGGTTGCAGGCCAGGTCCCCAGCTGGGGATGTGCGAGAGGCAACCAATCGATGTTTCTCGTGCACATCCATGTTTCTCTCCTTCTCTTTCTCCTTCCCTTCCCCTCTCTCTAAAAATAAATAAAAAATAAACTCTTAAAAAAGTTCATGGCAGCCCCTTAAAAAATTAAACACAAAATTGCCACCTGACCCAGCAATTCCACTTCTGGGTATAGATCCAAAATAACAGAAAGCACAAACCTGTAGACCAATGTTCAAAGCATGATTATTCACAATAGCTAAAAGGTGGGGGGGGGGGAAGTCCATTGAAAAGTAAATGGAAAAACAAAATATGGTATATAAATATAAAGGAATATCATTCAGCCTTTAAAAAGATGGAAATCCTGACATATGGCACAAGGATGAACTTCAGAAACATGCAAGTAAAGTAAGCCAGGCATAAATGACAAACACTGTAGAAAGTACCTAGCACAGGCAAAGTCACAGACACAGAAAGAACAGAGATACCAGGGGTCGGAGGAGGGGAAAGCAGGAATTTCTGTTTAATGGTACGCTGAGCAACACTGTTCTTGCTTGGGATGGTGGGAAAGTCCTGGGAAGGGACGGTGGTCATGGTTGCACAACATGATAAATATACTTAATGGCACTGAAACGACAAGATTAAAATGGCTAGAATGGGCCCTGGACAGGTAGCTCTGGTGGTGAGGGCATCGTCCCGATAGGCCAGCCAAGGGTGCGGGTCCCATCCCCGGTCAGGGCACATACAAGATTCAACCAATGAACACATAAACGAGTGGAAAAACTAGTCGATGCTTCTCTCTGTCTCAAATCAATTTTTAAAAAAGGCTAAAATGAATATTTTATGTTGTTTGTACACATTTAACATATACAACTTGATGGGGTTAGAGATGAGCGTACACATCACCACAATCAAGGCTGTGAACAGATCTATCGCCCCCCCAAAGCTTGTAACCACCATACAACACCCCAAAAAGCTTTATGGCTTGTTTAATTATGAAAGAAAAATCATGTTTGTAAAAGAAGTCCTCTGAGAATTAGCACTTACCGCCAACTGAATTTACTGTCACAACTCTGAAAGCCATAATCAGCATGATCATGCATGAATTCCGAGTGCATGGCTGTGTTCCACATCACCTGCAGAAAAAGTGCCCAGAGCAGCAGGACGTGAGTCCTCAGGGGAAGCAGAAATTGTGGATGAAAGGCAACTATGTAACAGAGAAAATAATAACACTGACCTTTAAACTAAAAACACAACTCGACATTTTAGAGGAGAACAGAACGTTCAGAAATATGAGCAGGCACCTTTTACAGGGAGGCTTCTGAAATATCGGAGAAAACTACTTCTGCAGTTAAATCCCCTAGTTCAGGAGCTCTGTAAACCAGGATAAGACTCACAGTGCTTCCGTTAACACTTACTGCTGCTTACCAGTACATTCTGTCTTTGAGTTTCAGATTTCCGTAAGCCCTGCCTTTTGTGATTAGTTCCAGGGAATGGAAGTGCACTGTAGCGTTATAGTATGGTGATTTGGAAGGAAGCTACTAGGTAAAAGCTGGGGACTAAAAACTTCAAGAGTGGGAATCCCGTCGGGTGTGCAGGACTACATACATGCCCTTGTAAGAACGTCATGCAATCAGATACCTGGAACTCAGAGGCTCAGTGCATCTCTTGTGGAATGTAGCCTACAATCTGTAAAAGCCTTTTAACGCCAACTGATCATCATGATAACTGAATTCAGAGCGGCAGCCAGGACTCCAGATGACAGCCAGACCATTTTTATCTTGGTCAGGCAAGTCTTAACTCCATTTTTGACAAGCCTTAACACTGCTCCTTTGCACCTTTCTCCCTTTATGCCTAAGGATGAATAAACTGATAACTCAGTTGGATTCAGTTTCGTTTATTGAGGTGAAATGCATGAATACACAATGAGCCATTTTATCTGCTATACTCTTTATCTTAAACAATGCATGTGAAAGATGTATCAGTACGACAAGTAAGTTGTCATTTTAAGAAAACACCACTGTACCTCCTATTATCCTGAGGGACCATATTTATTTACTTCCAATTTTAGTACATATGGTGCTGCAGCATCTAACCCTCTGCAGAAGGGGCTTCTATCGGAACTGCAGTGGCTTTTCAACTGAGACCTAATCAGGGCACTGGCAGGCCCATCCCTGTGGTTCCTTCTCTACCGCCGCCTCCCTCTACTCTTGTGCACGGGCGGCTACTCTAGGCTCCGGTCTGTTCTATGGAATGAGAGGCAACTACCAAGTGATCTTCAAGGATGCAAAAGCATTTTGAAATCAGTACAGTCCCGTAAAAGTATAAGGTAAATGTCTAGTATGTGTGGTCAGAATAAAAGGGTAAGGGAAATACATGGAAACAAATTATTGCAAATTTGGCCCCCTACAAAGATCAGCCCAGATGGCATTTTAAAAAAAATGAGGCAAAAAAATGAATAAAGTAAAATAATGAGATAGCACAAATCAATAGCAGATTTACTAACATAATCGGTTTAAACTGCATAAAACTACCTTATAACTAATATACATAAACCATACATTCATAATTGCATGATTCTAAGTAAAACAGATTCCAAAATCTATGACCAAAAGGAAAAAAATTGAGGAAAATGTCCCACAGGAAAAAAAAAAAAAAGAAGAAATCTTCCTAACACAGGAAAAGAAAAAAAAAAAAGCTACTTATACCAGGACACAGATTACAGAAAACCTTTATGGAGTTACATTCAGGCGTGCGTCACTGATGAGATGAGGATGTTTGCTCGTATACCCAAAAGCTTGCCAGTTTAAAATGTAATCTCAGTAACAAAAGGTTGCAAGCCTAGGATTACAACATGTTTTGAAAGGAGTAAAATTATTTGCAAGTATAGGCAAGAGGCAGCTTTGAAAACAACAGCTGTCATTGCTCCCTCTTTGTCACAGGTGAGGATGAGTTCATCTGATGTGACCTGCACTGCAGCCACTTTTAGTTGGTTTCTCAGTTACTTCTTGCAGAAGAAATTTTGGCTGAAACACCTCAGAAACAACCTTATTCTAATCATAATTTACCAAACATACAAAAGGAGTGTAGAAGGAATAAGAAATAAAAACCCTACCTTTTTGGGTACACATCCGACATTAACCTGGGAACAAAATTTAAAAGGACATATTTTAATAACATTAAACTCAACACACCTGCAAGAAATGAACCCCAAGCATCCACCCAGGAGACTTTTCTGATATAATTCACAACCTACGGTTATTTCCTTTTTCCTTGTATAGATTTGGAAAAGATATGAAGATTATTTTTGTCACGTGACGAGGTAGAGAATTTCACTCATCATCGTTTTCTCAAGAAAAGCAGAGAGAAAACAATTCCACTTCCAGGGGGCCGTGCACTGCAGGGTACGCGTCAGGAGACAGCAGAGTCTGAGTTTGCGCAGGACCCAGAGGGAAGCGGCAGAGCAGTAGCAGTGTGAAGTGAGAGGACCATCCAGCTAAGCAAGAGCAAGCCAGCCATCTGAGCAGCTGTCCCAGAGGGTTTCGGGGAACCTCACTGCAGAGCCTCCAGTGTAAAACACCCAGAATGTCCCCTCTGCAAAAGCCTCTAGTGGAAATCGACATTATGCTCCAGGACCAAAGAACAATGATGAATCACACTAGGAAGTCTGACGCACTTACTAGAAAACAGATCACAATTTTGGTTCTCAGGCTTCTAGCAGCCAATACACAAAGAGAAGCACAAATGCTGGTAGATTTCATGTAAAAACTAACTAGTTGTTTAAAAAAATAACTATTTATGTCCATTAGAGTTGAGAAAAATTCTTTCCAAGGGTCTGTGTGAACAAGCTGTTATATGTTTACACACAGACTTCTGTTTATATCCATTTATTTCCTTTTGATCACCTAAAATAACCATAAAAACAAAACAAAAACAAAAACTTGGGTTAAGAGTAGGATTGATGAAAACTGCTCAGAGGGTGAAGAAATTTGGACTTGACCAAATGGGTAATCACTCTATGTGACCTAGCAGAGGAGCAGCTGTAGAAGGAAAAACGAGATCAATCCCATTCTATTTCCAAATTAAATCTATCAGGTGACATTAATCAATTCAATCATATAGGTTTCAGGTGTACATTCTATAATACATCTGTATATTGCATTGTGTGCCCACCTCCCAAAGTCAAATCATTTTCTATCCCCATATAGTTGACCCCCTTTCCTCTTTATCACCCCCACCAACCCCTTTCCCTCTGGTAACCACCATACAGCTGACTGTGTCTGTGAGTTCCAGTTTGAGATCCCACATATGAGTGAAATCACACAGTTCTTGACTTTTTCTGTCTGACTTATCTCACTTAGTGTGATATTCTCAAGATCTACCCTTGTTGTTACAGTAGAACCACATCTTCTTTATCCAATCATCTATCAAAAGATATTTTCAGTTGTTTCCACGTCTTGGTCACTGTGAATAATGCTGCTATGAACACGGGGTGCACAGATCTTTATGAATACATGTTTTCAAATTTGGAGGGTAGATACCCAAGAGGGGCTGCTGGTTACATGATAACTCTATTCTTAATTTTTTGAGAAGCCTCTATACTGTTTTCCATAACAATACCAGTTCACCTTCACATCAGCAGTGAACGAGGGTTCCTTTTCCTCCACAAGCTCTCTCTCTAGCACTCACTGTTACTTGTAGATGACAGCCATTCTAACGGGTGTGAGGAAGTACCTCACTGGAGTTTTCATTTGCATGTCCCTAACAGCTAGTGAAATTGAGCATCTTTTCACAGATCTGTTCGCCATTTCTATGTCATCTTGGGAGAAGTATCTGTTCATGTCCTCTGCCCGGTTTTTAATCAGATTGTTTAGTTTCACTGCTTTTATTGTTGAGTTGTATGACTTCTTTATGTATTTGGGATATTAACCCCTTATTGAAAGTGCTGTTTGCAAATATCTTCTCCCATTCAGTTGGTTGCCTTTTTCAGTTGTTGATTTCTTTTTCTGTGCAGACACTTTTTAGTTTAACACAGTCCCATTATGTATATTGCTTTTACTTCCCTTGTCTTTGAAGTCAAATTCATAAAATCCTTTAAACCAAGGTCCATAAGTTTAGTATCTACATTTGTCCTATATAATTTATTGTTTCACGTTTTATATTTAGGTCTTTTATCCATTTTGAGTTAATTCTTGTGTATGGTGACATGTAATAGTCTAGTTTTATTCTTTTGCATGTGGCTTTCCAATGATCTCAGCACCATTTATTGAAGAAGTCATCTTTTCTCCATTGTATGTTTTTGACTTTTGTCAAAGATTATTTGCCTATATATATATATAGGCAAACCCATATATATATATATATATATATATATATATATGGGTTTATTTCTGGGCTCTCAATTTTGTTCCATTGGTCTGTGTGTCCGTTTTGCTGCCAATACCATGCTGTTTTGATTATAGTCACTTCGTAGTATAATTTGAAGTCAGGGAGTGTGATATCTCTAGCTCTGTTCTTTTTTTCAGGATTTCTTTGCCTATTTTGGGTCTTTTGTGAGTCCATACAAATTTGATGTTTTTTTGGTTCTATTTCTTTAAAAAACATTCAGATTTTAATGGGAATTGCATTAAATTTGTATACTGCTTTAGGTAACATGGCAATTTCAACTATGTTGATTCTTCCAATCCATAAACATGAAAAATCTTTCCATTTCATTCTTTCTCAATCACTTTGAATAATGCTTTGTAGTTTTCAGTATATAGGTCCCTCACATCCTTTGTTAAGTTTATTCCTAGGTATTTTATTCTTCTTGATGCAATTGCAAAAATAATTTTAGTTTTCACTTTTCTAAAATCTCATTGTTATTATATAGTAATGAAATGGATTTTTGTCCATTGATTTTATATCCTGCAACTTTGTCTACTCTTTCTTTTGGTGGTGTCTTTATATAAAAAATCCTGTCTGCAAAAAGTGACAATTTTACTTCTTTAAAAAAAAACTTTTTTAGAGACTTTTTATGAGTTTATTTGAGCCCAAGTGACAACACTGCTGGAAAGCAAGATCTCAAGTGCTGCCTAATTTTACTTCTTCATTCCCAATTCGGATGCTTTGAAAAATTTCTTTCTCTTGTCTGATTGCTCTGGCTAGAACTTCCAGTACTATGTGAAACAAGACGGGTGAGAATGGGCAACCTTATCTTGTTCCTGAACCTGGAGGAGAACTTTCAGTTTTCACTATAGACGATGACATTAATTGAGGGTTTGTCAAAAATGGCCTTTATTATGATGAAGTCCTTTCCTTCTATATCCATTGTACTGAGTGTTTTAGTCATAAATGGATGTTATATCTTATTGCATGCTTTTTCTGCATATATTGATGTGATCATGATTTTCATCCTTTATCTTGTTAATGTGGTGTATAATGGGAATACCACGATTTATTACTCGTATAATTCATCAGAACAAAGAAATAAACCAAAATGATTTTACCTGGGTAGTGGAATTTAGATGTGAATTCTTTCATCTCTCTTGTCTGTTTTCAATATTTTATATAAAACCATTTTTTATTATATGGAAACAAAAGGCTTCTAGACATAATTTATATCAGGGGCTTATAGCCCTGCTAATCATGACCATAAGAAACTAGGTTGGCTCTCTGTAAGCACAAAGAACACCAGCCTATTCTTACAGTAGAATGTTTTCCGGCTGTAATATATTGAAACTTAAACCTCATACACACTTGCCAAGGAACTTCATATGAAATCCCAGATTAAAAGGAATCTGCCCAAATCCCAGTAAGATTGCAAATGTTTGAAAATGTGGGTCTTACTGAATAGTAACTTTCTATTCCTCTAATATTCTATTTGCTAGCAGCCTACCTGCTGCAATTTCATTATGATCCTACTATTTGTTATTATTCTGCACTCAGAAATTTAAAGGAGTGAATTGTTTCTGTAGAGTTCTCAAGTTATCAGTCATTTGTTTTGTTTTGTTTTTCTCCTAGAAACAGTTAGGTCATACACTTCTAGTTGTCTACTTCAATTCTTTTATGAGGTGATGCTGCAATAAGGATTCATAAGGCAACAGAATCAGGAACTCACAGGATTGAGAGAAGGGTGCAGAATTCAAGCCTAATAAAGTACTTCATGTTAGCAATTAGAACAATTTATGGCTTTCTACCTGGACTGCTCTCCCATCTGAATAAGCCAAAAATATGCTGTTTCTCGTTGCCCAAGTGTTTGACGAAGCCATAACATGTCATAACACGTGGGGTATATGGAGAAAGCCATTCCAAGGAAGGAAGATGGCAGATGTTTCTTGGGTGGGAGAAGACAGAAAGGCAATGGAATCCTAGTGGGAAGAGAAGGCCAGCCTTGCGTTGGACGACTTTATCATCCGACCTGGCTTCTCCAGTTCACTTGGCAAAGTGCTTCTCATCCACAACTTTATACTCTGCAGTGTGCAGCTGAAGTTCATTTAAAGGCTTCAGCTAGGGCAGACTCCAGAAGCACTTTCTCCAAAAGCAGAGAAGATTTCAATGTATTAAATAAATACACTCTGCCTGTCCTCCAGTCAACCTTCTCCAGCTTCCTAGGGATCTTCAAAAGTGACTCATTGTCATGAGGCACTAAATACTCTGAGTCACTCTCATATATTAATTTACTCCTCCTGTACATTTTAAGCTACCTGAAAGCTATTTAAGGCATTTTTAAAAAAGGTTTGGAATATGGCCCTGGCCAGTGTGGCTCAGTTGGTTGGAGCACTGACCTGTAATTGGAAGGTTGGGAGTTCAATCCCTGGTCCAGGAGCTGGCGGGTGCAAGCCCTGGGACAGACTTGTATGATCTCCAGTAGGGCCACCAACCCCAGTCCTGGAGCGTTCAGGAGGCAACTAATCGTGCTTCTTTCTCACATCAATGTATCTCTCTCCCTTCCTCTCTCTCTCCAAAAACAATGGAAAAAATATCCTACGGTAAAAATTAAAAAACAAGTTTGGAATATGCTTTTATGGGCCAAGACAGCCTGACTTTCACTTGTGCCAAGTGTATGAGTTACTCAGGTTTAATTTTTTAACTTGCAACCATTCATTCATTCAGAAGTATTGGCTAAGGACGCGCTCGCTGGTGCCAGGTATTATGCAAACC